CATGTACATGCCTTGCAGTATTGTAGACGTATAAGTAAAATGAGAGATTACTAAGTATAGCTGTTCAATTCAAGACTAAGAATCAGTATAAACGATTGTTTGAAATCTTGTTTATATCAGCAAATTGATAATGATATTACTTTTCTATATAATTATCAGATACTGTCATATGGTGAACGTTCTTTGATAATAGTCTATTTAGTGCACTTAACCTGACATTATCCTATTAAAATATCATAATTTGTCCTGTCACTTGTTGATCTATACCAGCATAACAAAATTTTTTTTCAGAATAGAAGTAAAGAACTCGATCATGTATCATTGATATAAAGAGCATGACGTAACGTGCCAAAAAATAAACGTATATCTGCTTTTATTTTGAAACCTTTTTTTTTGTTGACTTCGAATTCAGGACTGTTTACAGGCATTGTAAATGTCATGATAAAACGCTGCTTCAATGCTGGTGTATTAATGCATTTTGTATGTTCTTCAAACAGTTGTGTTGTCTTCTCATTTTAAGGAATGTACTCTTGACTTCAAACTAGGATAGTCTCAATTCTTTGTTGATTGACTCTACAATGGTAACAACTATTTAGATGAAATCTTTACGATTAGGAAAAACAGTATGCAAGTATTTCTATGGCTGAGAATCAAAATGCTTTAAAAGCGCGGAAAAAGATATGTTCAAGTCGAAAATGCTGTTTTTTGCATCACGAGACATGTCACAGTATTACAGAGTCAAGACAGCTATCCATCCTAAAAAATACATATACATACAGTAACAATGGAAAAATGAAAACACAGCGAATAAATGCTTCACTACAGAAGAGATTGTATTTCTAGTAATAGGGATAATGTTCGAAGATAAGAGCAGTATATCTCTCTCGTATATACAGTGATAATAGAAAAAGGAGCGGATAAATACTTTACTACAGGGAAAAAAGTGTTGTTAATTATATGGATGATGTTCAAAGACAAACGGAAAACGTCTGTCATCTATTTGTTTATATATATACGTATATACCAGGTACCCCAGAAATGATCTATTAAAAAATGAGTAGAACATCTTTACCGTGTTCTGATCGAATGAATTAATTGTTTCCGTAATGATAGAGGAGAATTCCAAGCTTTTATTTATGAGCAAAAAGTTTAGTGACATCGCTGAAAACTATAATTATACATTGAAAAGAGAATAATTTACACTTTCTGATAAAAAAAAAGCACACGATAGATTCTTGGCTTCTGTAATATGATTCAAATTATCAAGTTCTTACATTTGTTCAAATTTTAAAATGATTTATCTGCAATCTTTAAACTTTCAGTAGTCTACCTGGCTTCACAAGACTCTCATGGATTTCTTTTTATACAGAAAATTCTCGAGAAATTCGTACGACAATAATCCATTTCTGGTAGAATACTTGCATAGCTACTTGTGATAAAGATAGAAACGTAGTCGAAAACTTTTTGACATATTTTATTTGATAGAGTTTTGTTCACTGATCATTTTAATAAAAAATTTTCGATTTTCATCAAAAAATGACGATGATACACTCATAATACTAAAAAACATCAGGTTACTCGAAAGTTCCACAGCAATTTGATCTTTTCCAGTATTTTTGACAGTAGCTTCTTCATTCATTGATGATAATAAGAAAAGTATTCTACCAAAATGTTCAATGGAAAAATTTCTGCAAAATCAAATATGTCAAAACAAAAATTGTCAGATGTTCGTATTTCATCTGGTTGACTACTGATGAAATTATCTAAACAGAAGATCACTTTTTGAATTTTAAAGTAGATAGTGTTATATTTCAAGTGTATCAATAAGTTGATGATCTACGAATGAAAAATCTGCAACTCTCCTCTATCATCGGAGAAAAAAAACTTAGTTTATTCGGTCAAAATACGATAGAGACATTTCGTTAATTTTTTGATAGGTTATTCTTGGGACATTCGATATATATATACAGTCACAATCAAAAAAAAATGAAAAAGCAGCAAAAAAATGCATTGCTACAGAGGAAAAAGTATTTCTATTTATATGAATCATGGTCGAAAATAAGAACAAAATGTCTTTCATTATCCATCTATATATATATATATACGTATACTCATTGAAAAATATTTATCAAAAACAACGGCAAAGAACATGTTCCACTTTCACAGAAAACTTATTTTTAAGAAAAAAAATGCTCTACATAAAAAGTGAAATGCGTTCCAAAATGGAACGGTCAAGAATGCGTTCTCAACCTTTACAAACGTTTTCTTTTCTTAAAAAAAGGGCTTTCACATTCGCGGAATACGTTATTGATCATTACAATTTAAAATGATGAAAAATTCGTTCCAAGATCAGCTTTTCCTATGAGAATTCCCAAGGAGTTCCAAATGATTGACAAAACCTTCAAGGAACACTTGAAAAGCTAGGCAAAAAAACGAAAAGTCCTTGTAGATTGACTAGGAATTATCAACCAGGCCCTAGGCAATCTACAAGGATTTCTCATTTTTTTTGCCTAGGTTTTCAAGTGTTCCTTGAAGGTTTTGTCAATCATTTGGAACTCCTCGAAGATTCTCATAGGAAAAGCTGATCTAGATTGCATTTTTCAACGAAAGAATGTGAGAAGGGTTTTATTAGATTTCTAGTCCCATACAGAAACGCTTAACAAAGATAAACCGGGACGCTGCTAATTTGACTAGATTCTAATTTTGATCGTAACATATATACTCTTGTATAGAGTGATGAAAGGGAGTTCTTTTCTATTTGCATCTGATGGCTAGTGTGTTATACATGGTGCAGATATTCGATGCCATTTGTCAAGCTTCTCGACCGAGCATTTAGCCTCAAAATCTGATGAAGTCTTGTAAAGTCGTATGAAGTTTCTTGAAAGCTCTTGAAATCCTACAAAGTCTCAAGAAATTATTTGAAATCTTTTCAAGTCTTCTGAAGTATTTTGAAATATTAAAGTCTCTTGAAATAATGAAATCCGCTATTAACCGCTCAACCAAGGTTGACATTTTTTGAATGATTTCTAAATCACATGTTATAGTTCGTTCTCGCTGTATACCATCAAGGACACTTTTTCTATAGGGTCCACATTTATTTGAAAACGAGCAAGAGAAATTTTTAGTGAAAAGGAAAGCAGATAATTAAATAAGAATTCAATAAAGTTTCAAAAGTTCTGGAATTAATACAGTGAATTTAATTATTCATAATTTTGTCCAAATTTTAGAAGGCAGTACTTTAGTTTTATGTCAAATCGTTGTTGATACACTTTTTGGCATGAATAAAGTTTATTTGAGTTGATTTTTGTCAAATATTCATTAAGAAATGTATCCAAATCAGCTTTGACACATATTTTGTAAGTAGTTAATTCTTCCGTTTCAGATAGACTCAGTGGGACATCAAACATGCCTTGACCAAAAAGTTGAAAGGAATCTGCCGCTAAAATGTAGAGCGATTTTACTGTTTCTATTGTTCGGCAAAATCCAGCAGCATTTTGCGTTTGCATTTGTATCATCAATTGAGCGGCGCTATTGTCCCACCTAAATAAATATAAACAATCAATGGGTTTATTCATATGAGAAACTAAAAGTTTACCAGGAAATAAATGCCTCAGATTGATTAGTGCATTTTGCGAATGATGTTATCAGCTTATAAGTAAACGGCTGTAATTCCATATTCAATTGTTTTAATTTCATTGACAATATTGTTAAATTGACTGGTAACTGTCTTTGAGTAAGTGTGGGTATGGCGACTATATTCTGTATTCCACTCATATCAATTCGTTGTGTAGCCAGAATGTCTTCATTCGGAAAATGTACATAGGATGAATAAGATAATATAGATGCAAGAAGAACGAAATTATTTCTCTATGTTTAAAGCCGATCCCTACGTCTATTTGATATCGAGCCGAATTTTATATAACAAGAGAAAAAAAGAAAGCTTCCACAGCCGAAAAAAAAATGAAACATTTACATGATTCGATTTCTTAAAGACTGACTAAGATTTGCATTAAGATCAAACTTAATAGATACGCAACTTATTTATGCTAATTCAATAATGATTCATAGTAATAAAAAGATACGAACGATTTTCATTTGTAGATGTTATTATCATATGATTATTAAATCTACTGAACTTAGAGCAAGAGAACTACTGAGAAACAAAACAAAGAGAAGTAGGATTGCTTGTATAAGTATTTGATTGTGATATCACTTCAGCTAGTCATGTGTAGACCAAAACATCGAGAGTAGAAATACTTCATATCCCATAATTGTTTAGATTGCAGTATTTTGCGAGTGAAAAGAGCTAGCATGTATAAACAAGAGATAAGCGCTGCTGTTGCTGTAATTTAGGTTACTCCTGTTAATATATGATCTGCTTTTATACTGCTCACGACAGAATCAAAGCATAGCACAGCAAACATTTGTATTTTTTGGACAAACACAAAAGAAAATAAAATGAAGTTTTATAATTTATCTGATAGATGTATAGCAAGAATTTTCATTACGAATACTAATATGTCCTCCAAGAAATATAACAGTACGAATTCTGATCGATAGAAAAAGTTTACATTTCGATTGAACTTGGCAAGAATAGATATGGTGTCGATTGAGCAAAAACTATAACAGCGAAAAGCGTTTTTAGCGAAAAAAAGTACGCGAAAATTATCATAGCGAAAATAACTTTTAGCGAAAATAAACAATAGCGAAAAGTAAAACTGTGAAAGACAAAGTAGCGAAAACTCAAAATTTTTTATTAGCAAAGAAAAACAGCGACTGGAGAAACTGGAGAAATCTTTTCTTGATAAATTCGATTGTTTATGTTTTATGGTGAATCATCATCCTGATGTGCATAAATGTATGGTAGCTCTTGCTCGTTCTGCTCTTCTCGACGTGTCTATCTATTATATTCTTTTTCTTGATATATAATCGTCCGTATGTGATGTTACATAGTTCACTGATGTATACATGATCCATTTAGTCCATTTTACCAACCAGTTATGACTGACTCGACAATACTTTCTTTTACCACTTCAAATCGAGGTAAACCAATGCTTATTTATTCAGGATATGTTTATCGATTGAAAAAGTCGACAAAAAAAGTTAAATACTGGGTTTGTCAATCAAATAGCTGTGCAGCAAATGTTCATACTAATGCAAATGATCAATTTATTAAAGCTAATGGACGACATCAACATTTGCCTGCACCCGAACGTATTGAACTTCGAGATTTGAAACACACGGTAAAGAAGAGGGTGGAAAATGAAACGACTTCTGTACCCAAAATTTATGAAGAAGAACTAGCTCGTTCTAATCTCTCTGCAGCTGCTCTTATCCTTGCACCACTTGCACCTGATGCAAGTAAGTTGTTTGTCTATTTCAATTTCTAATGTGTCGCTGTTCTTTATAGAATCTGTTTTAAATCGTGTACGTCGAAATATAACTCCACCAATACCTACATCAAGTGATTTCGATATTCCTGATTTTTACCGACAAACACTTAATGGTAAACTACTCGTTTGTACCGATAGGTTTATTAGAAACAAACGAATGATTTTATTTGCAACTGATAAGCAACTAGAAACGTTGTTCTCATCTGAATGGATTTTTCTCGATGGGACATTCGATTCATGTCCATCGCAGTTTAAACAAATCTATACAATTCATGGCTTGAAATTTCAACAAAGTGAGTTCATCAATTATTCAAAGCTTCTAATTTATATTGTCGTTTAGATCTACCATGTGTTATAAGTTCGCTTTCAGGAAAATCTACTGATATATATATACAATTACTTTCTGAGCTTGAATATCATCCTGAACGATTAAATATGAAATTTGAACCACGGCATGTGATGTCAGATTTCGAAATGTCGCTGATTAAAGCCATTAAACAAAAAGTTAGTTTTTTCTAAATTTATGATTAATTTTAATTTTTCGTTTCACTAGTTTCCAGTGTCAATGCATCATGGTTGTTACTTTCAGTATTGTCAGTCACTTTACAAACAAGTTCAACGACTCGGTCTAGCAACAGCATATCTTGACGATGAAAGTACACGTTTATCTTGTAGAAGCACAATGGCTCTTGCTCTTCTACCCATCGAACTTATAGAAGAAGCTGTAAAACTTCTAGAAGATGATTCTCTTCCAGAAATGGCAAATTTCTTTAAATATTTCAAATATCAATGGTTAACACGAGTGCCTCCAAAATACTGGAATGTGTCAACACTCGAGTTTCGTACAAATAACTTCGCCGAGGGTGAGCTTTTGCCTTGTCTTGAAAAGTGTATATCTGTCTTTTCTCACACAGGTTGGCACAACAAGTTCAACAACCGTGTCGACAAAACTCATCCAAACATTTGGAGACTGTTTGAATGTTTACAACGTGAGGAATTATCATTTCGACAACAATTAGGAAAAATTAACTGTGGTATGCAGAAAAAAACAAATGACACCTGCTGCTCTATCCGAACACAAATCGTAACTCTAACGAAACGTCATGAACAAAAACAAATTACTCTATTAGAATTTATTCATGGTTTATCTATGATCGTAGCTCAAAATTCTGCAATTGTTCTTTGATTTTCTCATCCAAATACTTCATTTCTAAATCTTTACTTTTTATATTATTTGATGTTCCTGTATAACACTTCTTTTCTTAAAATTAATAAAATATTATTGTTCATTTAATTAAACTGAAGATTTCCCTATTTTACACTTTGCTATTTTACTCTTCGCAATTTGCACAAAAAATACCTTCGCTGGAAAACTTTTCGCTAAAAGATCACTTCGCTCAAAATCTTTTCGTCGTTTTCTTTTTTCGCTGATTCGTATTCGCTGAAAACTTTTCGCTTAAAAATCTTTCGCTGATTTGCTACCATACCCAAGAATATACACAGACAGAAGTTTGGTCTACGGCATATTATTATCAAGTTTTTACGATTTCTTTCAAACCTAACGATGAGTAAACTGATTATGGTCTATCGAAGCTAGAACATTCAATGATTTTTTTCTTGCAATTCAGTTGAAATCATCACTACTTCATACTCAGGCTGATTAGAGCAACTTTCAATTTTCAAAGATTGTGTTAAGGTTGACACACCTAACTGTCGCAGTCTTGCACTCGAGCTGAATGACAAATCATTTATAGTATACTTTGATGAGCACAACCATTGGGTTGTTGAATTTTAATCCTTATACGAAAATAACTCAGTCTCAATTTCAGGTCGAGTAATACCAATTTTAGTTGACATTGTTAAATACCGAGTCACAACATGCCAAAATTATTTTGGATACGAATTTTTGCTTATGTGGATCTCATCTTCTGTATGCAAGGAAAATCTTCAATTTTTTCTTAATCTTATTGTTTTAAAGCATGCTGATTTATTAAATCGATCAATATTATCTAGTGTTTTCCAAAAGACAAAGAAGAATTTAAGATACCTCTCTGTCCAAGAGAGAAAAGGTTCTATTCTATACTTTGATAACTTCTATCCGTTGTCACAACAGCTGAATATGTTCGAAAGTTTCTGAAGTGGTTAGTAATATTAGTTTCAATAGATTTAGAATAAATTATGCTCATATTCCAGTTTTAGTTCTATTTTATGCTGATATTGTGTCTTTAAAGGCCTCATTTTAAAGTATGTGCACAAGACTCTTTCACTTTACGTGATGTATTATGTATTTTCTGATATTGAAGGGGCTATTTTGGATAATCTGATCCGTGAAAGAATGTTTTTAAACACTTTTCTATCTGTAAATTATAAGAAAACGAACACGATTGCCGTTTTGCCTCTTATTTGTAAAGTAGTTCAATTCTAGTAGCTCGAGTTATGGGTGTTCAAAGTCTTGACTAAAACGGCGGAAAAAAGTTTAAGGCACTTTTGTTTTTCGTTTTTCTTCATCAAAGACCGCTTTTAATGAAAATCCAAATAGTGATTTCGATAGCTTTCGGAAAGAGCTACAAATCTAGTATATCAAAAACGTTAACAATGAATCGGTTCAGTTTCTATGACAGAAACTGTTTTTGTCCAGCGGAACAAAGTCTAAGGCATTTTTTTGTATCTCATCGATTTTGTCGTTATCAAAGAACAGAAAAAGTTTCGAAAATATACCATTAGATCCAGAATTGAACGGGCTATATGTTGATATAAATATTTCGGAAAAGCTATTAGTTATATTAATTAATTATTAATGATTATTAATTAATAGTTTTAAAAAAAATCTTGTCATAGTTTTCGGTTTTTAAGTACACCATAAGAAAGAGTATTGAAAACTAAACAGAACTGTATATTTTTTGTTTTATAACAATCGATTTTAATGGGTTTTTTTAAGGTCTCTTTTAGAAATTAATTAATAGTGTATTAATAATTAAGAAAATTGAGCATTAAGAGGATGCTTCAAAACTCTGGAAAGTAGTGCATTCTGTAGAGCAGAGTTTGTTCTATCCAACGAGACCTGACGGCTTTCTGTACAATCTGCTATGCATGAGATACAGTCCGTTGAAATTAGTGTGGCCGAAATAAGGCAAAAAATAGCTAGAAATCATCGCTGAAATTACTGATAAGAATAAGAAATGTTGTCTAAGTCGAAGATTGCATTGTAAAAACGGCTGCCAGATCTCGTTGGATAGAACAAACTCTGCTCTACAGAATGCACTACTTTCCAGAGTTTTGAAGCATCCTCTTAATGCTCAATTTTCTTAATTATTAATACACTATTAATTAATTTCTAAAAGAGACCTTAAAAAAACCCATTAAAATCGATTGTTGTAAAACAAAAAATATACAGTTCTGTTTAGTTTTCAATACTCTTTCTTATGGTGTACTTAAAAACCGAAAACTATGACAAGATTTTTTTTAAAACTATTAATTAATAATCATTAATAATTAATTAATATAACTAATAGCTTTTCCGAAATATTTATATCAACATATAGCCCGTTCAATTCTGGATCTAATGGTATATTTTCGAAACTTTTTCTGTTCTTTGATAACGACAAAATCGATGAGATACAAAAAAATGCCTTAGACTTTGTTCCGCTGGACAAAAACAGTTTCTGTCATAGAAACTGAACCGATTCATTGTTAACGTTTTTGATATACTAGATTTGTAGCTCTTTCCGAAAGCTATCGAAATCACTATTTGGATTTTCATTAAAAGCGGTCTTTGATGAAGAAAAATGAAAAACAAAAGTGCCTTAAACTTTTTCCCGCCACTTTAGCTAATACAAAGATTGCGGATTTTCGATGTAACGGTCTGCCAAATGCGATGATGGTTTTCTATCAATTATGACTGGTTTTATTGGCTCTGCTCAATTTTTGGCGCTAGATTCCATTAAACTTGAAATAAAAATTCTAAGATTTGATATGAATCGTCAAATCTATACAGGGAACTTCTACAATCTTTGTGAAAGATACGCAAGATTTGGTCTATCCTTAGTTCGAATAGAGTCATCTGTCGGCTTTGGTTTTAAAGACTAACTATATAAAAATACTCAAAAACGTCGATAACATACTTCCAGTAGAATAAAATTATTTTATTTAAATATTCTAACTTCAATTTCATAATGTTATTAATCTATAAAATCGGAACTATGATCAATTGCTGAAAATAAGGTCTTACCTAAGAACATATTCCAAGAACTCCCAGGCGTTTTTTGTGAATATGGAAAGCCCATGGATTGTAAATCAGGTGTGAGTGATGGATAAGTTTTTGTCGATTTAAATTGACCGCCTTAAAAATAAAAGAATGAAGAATAAATAGATGTAAAAGAATCGGCAAACCAGAAATATAGAGGGTTCTGATATTGGATATTATGGATCGATCGTCAGTTATAGCTGCAGCAATGTTTGTCAACGGACCCAATGCTAAAATATCAACTGGCTTAGATGAGTATTTTAATACCATTTTAATAAGCTCGACTCCTTCAAAAGGCGATGGTTGTACACCAATATTAGCTGTTTCATTGAGACAAGTAGGTGCCGTAAGATATGTGTTGACCACTCGTAATATTGAATCGGTCAGCTGCAAACCAGACGCCAAAAATGGTATACTAAAATCTTTTACAGTTAAGACTATATCATGCTAATTCAAAATTATGAATTACTTGAGACCATGTGCAACTGGAATGCTACTGTTACAACCCAGTATATCCAGTAATCTCAGAACATTAGACGATGAATAAAAGGGTGAACTTTGAAATAAAAAAAAATGAAAGTCATATACATGCTAATGATATTCTCCATTACCTATCTCCATCGCCTACAGTTGTTATTGCGATAACATCAATAGTTGGTACCTTGATCCTCAATATTTACAATTGAAAACAAATATTCTTGTTTTTATACTTACATTGAGTAAATATTGAATAGCCCATAAGTCGTCAATATCGACATCGGTATCAATCAACACTGGCTGCCGGCTACTATCGTATTTCATACAGGATTGCACATTCTGTCTAGTTGGATGTGATTTACTATCATTGATCAAATAGATGATCATAACAAACAAAACGTATGATAACCACATAGCCAATTTTGTCATGTTCTATCTATCGAAATATCCATATAAGATTGGACCGAAAGGATTCGTCTGTATATCAGAAAAATTCTCATTCACAAGACGGTTTCCCAAAAGATGTATCAAATTAAAAACTAACAATTTGAAGACATTTTCAGAACAGTTTGTAGTCAAACTTGATGTAATAATAATAATTTACTACTAATGATTGTGGAATAGATAGTTGCTCATACTGTGTTTCTAGTGACTATTTTTGTTTTGTGTCCTAATTTTCCTGAAAACTCTCATCACTTTGTCGTTTAGAGAAATAACACTTACTGAACTGAGCTAACTATATTGCTATAGTCTGTGATCTTGGTAGATTACTCTACAGTGATTCCATAGAGGATGATGATATTCTTTCATTATGAAAATTGTAATATTTCAAATAAGATGTAAAGGATGAAAGGGAAGCTGCTTCATCATATTTCAGTTTTGTGATATTACTCAGCAACATGTAGTGTTGTTCTCTAATATGGTAATACATGATGCGCGCAGAATTTACTGTTTTTCCAGATCGCATTCAAAGATCCGATAAATTTTAGATGCAAAATTTATTCTTAAGATGATATATGGGCGTGGGTGTTGGTACTTTGATTATCCACACTCACACTCATACCCACACCCAAGATACGTAAGCATAAATGTAAACTTAACTGGTCAAAAATGGAGAAATTTGGAACAAAAATATAAAAAAGGATCGCAAAAAGCAAAAGCACAGCTATAATAACGATTATTTGAGTACTCTCCTCCCAGAATAAAAACCCACTCGGCTTCTATTTCGTCCTACTCTTTTCATCTCCTGAAGCAAAACTTTAAAAGAGCTCCTAGCAAGAAAAAACTCGCTAAACTTATTCGAAACATAAACACGTGACTTTTTGTGAAACACGATCTGAAAGGAGTGTTGAAGTGTTTAGGGGTAGAAATTTGGACCCATCCCTCCTCCTCCCGCCCCACAGACTGTGACAGAGAAATCCTAGTACCCATCACAGACCGTGACAGAGAATTCCTAAAGAGTATCA